CACACCTCGAGGCATACTCGCCGCACCTCAGCGAATTCAGATATCAGAAGTTTGACGAGGTGGAAGTTCCTGGCCAATACCTCCAACACAAGGATAAAAACCAAGACTTCATCCGTATAGAGAGGTTCCTTCCAAATGTGGATCTAGTCCGGTCCTACAGCACCTCATATCGCCGACTCAAGATGCGTGGCCACGACGGTAGCGTTCACTCATGGGCCGTACAACACCCGGCAGCGCGCCATTGCAGGCGTGAAGAGAGAATCTTGCAGCTATTCAGACATCTCAACCAGACACTAGGTCGGAAGAAGGAGAGCCGCCGTCGGGATTTGCAGTTTACCCTCCCGCTCATGGTTCCTCTTGCCCCGCATATAAGAATCGTTCAAGAGGACACCTCTTATGTCACGTTGCAGGCAGTCTACGAGGATCACTGTCGACGAATGGGCTTTTCTAAGGACGAGCCCGTTTTGTTTACACTTGAAAAGTTGCGCGGTGTGCTCGAAAGCAAGAGCCAGGTATGCATTGATGGAGCTCAGCTGGGAATTGACGTAGGAGCTAACATATTACAGCAGGGCAAGCCTGAACTCACGCCACCAGCAAGACTGGAAGTCTTCAACGCTGTCCAAGAGAAGTGGGTGCCGTCTTCAGTTGCGCTAGACTATTTCCAGCAGATATTCCCGCAGTTCGCAGAGTTTTGGCTCTTCCGAAGGCAGTTCTCCTATCAGCTTGCGGCCTTGACGTTTATGACGTACATTTTGTACATGCACAACCGATATCCCGCGAAGCTCAACATTGCACGGGGCTCGGGCAAAATTTGGGGATCGGAGCTGATGTCGTTTATGAGCGCATCAAAGCCATTCTTCCACAACCCAGAGCCGGTCCCCTTCCGCCTGACACCCAACCTACAGGTGCTGATGGGCCCGCTCGCTACTGAGGGTATCTATGCCTGCTCCCTGATGGCGATTGCTCGCTGCCTCACGGAGCCGGAGCACGAATTGGAGCATGCACTCACGCTATTTGTACGAGACGAGATGATATTCTGGCTCACTAGCAGCCACAGAAACGGAATCAGCGAGAGCCAGCTGCGTGAGTCTGTGCAGGTCAACAGCGACTCGATTGTCAAGCGCGCGGCGAGTCTGGCGCACAACCCGTCCGGCAACTTGCCTGCGAACCAGACGGTGATTGATGCGATTGCCAAAGCTGTGAACCCTATGAATCTGGCACAGTGCGATGCGCTGTGGATGCCATATCTGTAGGGGTAGGCGAGTTTATTATAAAAATAATGAAGGGGATAGTGTGATGTGGCACAGGTTAAGGGGAAGCAAAGGTGGTGAAATCCTTGAGCAAGGCGTTTGGGTGTAATGATTTGATTTTGCTTTGAGGGAGAGGACAGCGGCCTCTATGTATTTCAAGTGCGAGGTGCGAGGGTTGGAGGACGAAGTTGATGCAACATGCTTGTGTGTGCTTTGAGGTTGCTAACTACGTGGTGTGGCTCGGTTGACAGCTCGTGCGCGTAGGAAGCAATACAAAGAATAGAATTATTATCAATGATGCAGACGCAGACTTGGTGTATATTATTGCGCGACGACTCGAGCGGAGGAGCTGCATTCATATGAGTGATGTGATGATGGATGCATGATATGGCCACTTCCTATTCTACACTACATACGGAGACTACGGACTACGGACTACAGAGTAGATGTTTATTTGTTTGTTTGTTTGTTAACCAGGCTGATATGCGAATACTAGTAACATTTTTTTGTCTGCTTTTCGGCATTAGTTTCGGATCCCAGGCCGATGACAGCCGTCTGCGGCGCAACCGGCTCGATTGCTTCAAGGCGCAGTCAGTTCCAATGCAGATCCGAAATACGACATGGACGGAGAGGTTGGAGCTATGGATTCCCGAGGTTGTCAGTTACCGCGGGCCAAGTCGGCCAATCTTGTTATCTGGAGTCTGGCCGAGGCGGCAATTGGCGGTTGTGGAGAAGAAGATGGAATGGGGAATCCCTGTCGCGCCCTTGACTCAAGCGGCATCGGCATCCGACGAGCGAGACGACAAGCACATCTTTTGCAAGCTGCCTGTCCGAAGGCCCATGTCTTTTCTTTCTATTTTTCCTTCTCCTTACGGAGTACCTGTGAAGCCCTCTTGTCTATTTCTCTGACGCTGAGAAGAAAAAAAAAGAAACGGCAAAAAAATAGCAGTCACAGCTGCCACCCACAATTCGCCAAACATGGACTTTGAACAGACGCCCAGGAAGCTCTGGGAGCATCCAGACCCCAAAAGCACCGCCATGTGGGCGTTCATGCAAGATGCGAATGCGAAATATGGATTGAACATGCAGGTGAGCTGGGGCAATTTCACTTCGATCCGGTTTCTCTCAACCTGACGTTCCCAGGACTTTCCTGCTCTCTACAAATGGTCATGCTCCCACCGCAACCAGTTCTGGTCTCTTGTCTGGGAAACCATGCCCTTAATCCACTCCGGCAGCTACACGCAGCCCGTCGATGAGTCCATTCCCGTCTCGCAGCTCCCGGCCTGGTTCGCGGGCATTCAGCTCAACTGGGCGGAAAACTTCCTCTGGAGCCGGAGCGCCAACGACGCCCCCGGCACGAGGACCCAGCTCAACAAGGAGGACTCCAAGATTGCCCTCACGGAGGTGCGCGAGGGCAACACCGAGGTTCGACACATGACGTGGGCGGAGCTGCGGAGAAGGGTGGCCGAGCTGGCCACGGCGATGAAGGAGAGAGGTGTTGGGAGGGGGGACCGGGTGGTCATGGTTGGCGCGCATTCGGCGACGACGCTGATTGTGTTCTTGGCAACGACTTGGCTGGGCGGGCTGTTTAGCAGTAGTTCTACGGATATGGGCGTTGGAGGCCTGTTGCAGAGGACGGCACAGATCGATCCCAAGGTGAGTGGTGGTGGGTGGTTGATGCTGGTGCTGGACCCTAGTGTTGATGAGAGAAAGCTGACTGGGGCAGTACGTCTTCTTCGATGACGGCGCCTCGTACAACGGCAAGACAATTGACCTCCGGGACAAGATCCAAGGCGTCATGGAAGGACTGCAGTCATGTCCGTCGTTCAACAAGGTGGTTGTCGTGCAGCGGTTCAAAGGGCAGCCCTACCCTACGGGACACATTGCCAACACGGAACGACTCGAGGACTTTATCCTGTCAAAGGGATACAAGCAGCCTCCACCCATGGTCCGCATCGGCTTCCAGGACCCCATGATTGTGTACTACTCTTCTGGAACGACGGGCATCCCCAAGGCAATTGTTCACGGGGTCGGCCCCTTGCTGATCAGCATCCAGAAAGAAGGCATCCTGCACAAAGGCACCACCCCAGACGACGTTGGCCTTCAATTCACCACCACCGGATGGATCATGTACCTGAGCAGCGTGTCGCAGCTACTCTTGGGAGCTAGGGCCGTTCTGTACGACGGGTCACCATTCGTCCCAGATGCAACCGTGCTCTTAAAGATTGCCGAACAACAGGGCGTCACGACACTCGGCCTCAGCCCACGTTGGATGACGGAGTTGATGAAGAAGGGAATATCTCCCAGAAAAGTAGCCGACCTCTCCAAGCTAAGAAAGGTGGTCAGCACGGGCATGGTCCTGCCCGACCAGATGTTCGAGTGGTTCTACGATGAGGCGTTCCCGCCGGAGGTCCATCTCGCCAACATTTCCGGCGGCACCGACATTGTACGTTGCCTGGATGGAATCATGATCTTTCTTCTTCTTCTCTTGGATCCCAAGTCCATGTACGCTGACAACCTAACAGGCCGGCTGTTTCGTCCTCGAAAACCCCCTGACGCCCGTCCACGTAGGCGGCTGCGTCGGCGGCTCCCTGGGCGTCCCCATCGCCGTGTACGACCACGACCTCGCCGACGGCAGCGAGGGAAAGCCGCTCCCCGCCGGGCAGGCAGGCGACCTCGTCGCCACGGCTGCGTTCCCCAACGTGCCCCTGTTCCTGTGGAACGACGACGCGCCGTCGCCGGGCAAGAAGTACCGCGGCGCGTACTTTGACCGCTTCGACGGGGCGTGGGCGCAGGGCGACTTCTGCGTCTTCCACCCCAAGACGGGCGGCGTCCTGATGCTGGGCCGGTCGGACGGCGTGCTCAACCCCAGCGGGATCCGGTTCGGCAGCTCGGACATTTACGCCGTGCTGGAGCGGTGCTTCCCGGCCGAGGTCGCCGAGTCGCTGTGCGTCGGGCAGCGGCGGCCGAGCGACCTCGACGAGCGCGTGGTCCTGTTCCTGATCATGAGGCAGGGCCGGACGCTGGACAGGAAGATGGTGACGAGCATCAAGGACACGATTGCAAGGGAGCTGACCAAGAGGCATGTCCCGCGGTACGTGTTCCAGGTGCCCGAGATCCCCGTCACCGTCAACGGCAAGAAGGTCGAGCTGCCGGTCAAGAGTATCATCTCGGGCAAGACGGTGAAGCCGAGCGGGACCTTGTTGAACCCGGGTAGTCTGGACTTTTTTTACAGGTTCCAGAAGGTGGAGGAGCTGGAGGAGCCGCTTGCTAAATTGTAGATGGGCAGTTGTGTAGTTTTTCTTTTTCCTGTTTGGTGCCTTGGTGTGGTGTGAAATGGACTGGCAAGTTGGATTCGTAGAAATAGATTGCGATTTTCAAGGCCTGACTTGTGGGAGTTCTGCGTGGTCTTTGTAGGCAAGGCGTCTTGATGTGATTGGAGTAGATGACGCTGTCCACGTTCCCGGGCCACATTGCCACATGAAGCTCATGACATATATATTATATCAACCATGGTTTCTGGCCTGATACGTCGGCACAGAAGCCAACGTCGCCGTTACAATCGAGCGCACCCGCGCCAGACAACATTACAACACCACAGATGCGACATGAAAACACCCAGAGACTCTGCGCCCAAAAACAAAAACGCCAGACCGTCGACCGTACATTTCCTTCATCCAGTCTCGGCTCCCCTCCCACCTCCAGCCATGCTCCCATTCGCAACCACCAGCAGCCCGACATGATGCCTCCTCACAAATCGCCCTCCTTGGGCTTCTCCTTAAACCTGCCCCCGTTCACGCCGAACCGCCATCCCGCCCAGGCCAACCCGCCAACGACCCCCCCGGCGCCCACGGCGCCCATCACCCCCCGCCCGCCCAAGCCCTTCAGACTCCCCGCGGCCCAGGCGGCGGCGACGCCGGCCCCCATGCCAAGATACGTCCAGTCGTCCATCTCGAGCTGGCCCCTGTTCTCCAGCAGCCGCCAGCTCCTGTCCTGCCACTCGACCAGCTCCCGGCCGTACATGCGCCCGGCCAGCGCGGCCGCGCCGACGCCCAGCCCCCAGAGCGCGCCGGCCGACGACGCCCTCAGGATGCGGTGCGAGACCAGGGCCGGCGCCGCCCCGGGTCGTCGCCACGCCGGCACCGCCTGCCTCGCGGCCGCGACGCCCAGCCCGGCGAGCGATCCCGCCGCCAGCGCGCGCGTGAGCACGTGCGTCGCGAGGACGACGTGCGGCACCGGCTGGTCCTCTGCGTACGACGTGTGCGGGAAGTAGCGCGACATTACTCCGTATTTGTGGTTGCGAATAAGTCAAATCAGTACTTTAGGGTGGCGATGGCGGGAAGAAATTTCGAGCGAGGTCGAGCGAGGTGGTATTTATGAGGGGAAGAGGAACCAGACCTTGGACTGACTTGACCTTTGTGCCCCCAGACGATGACGGATGACGAACGAGTAGGTGGCTCCACGTTTTATGACTCGAGAGTACGTAGTATTTGCCCTGCGGCGGAATAACGCCTGCTGCCGGTGGCGCTGGGCTGGGCGATGCTTCCGTCGTAAAATGCCTGGTCAACTTCCAATGTTGGTGGTGATCATGTCCCGTCGACTAACAAGCGGCCAATCAGCCCGGCGCTGTTCGTGATGACGCGCCCCGCAGAGAGCACGAGTGGGGACTACCGGCTCTCGGCTGCTGGTGGTGGGCTGACTTTGGTCCAAGTTGACAGGTGCGGGTCTGGCGGGCAGCTTGCACCTCCAAAGGCCGACGACGATTCTGACATGCCATGCCACGTGTGACATGTTAAGAGGCTTCTCATCGGCCATCATCCATCAAACGCGAGGCTCCGAGAGGATACACGGCAGGCCACAGAGATTGAGCACATGAGAAACCTGTTAGATGCTGCCCCCCGTTCGCAGTAAACAACGTAAAATCGAGCGCTTCCATTTTGAAATATACCTACCAAGTATGCCATTACCAAAAAAAAGCCCCATCAAACGCCGTCTGCAAAACCATATCAAGATGCATGCCTCTCGCCGCCCCAATGCTGTCCCTTTCTTACTCGTCCTCGTCCGTCATTTCCATCATGCTCTCGCCCTTGTCCTCGTCGTCCAGCAAGGTCCTTCTTCTAGTGACCCTCCCTTTGCCCTTGTCGAGCATGCCGCGCCCAGCCCGGCGTCCATTGACTCGTTGCGCCGCCTCCAACTTTCTCTGATCCAGGTGGCTTTCGAAATCGGCCAGATCGTCCGCCTCCTCCTCCGCAGCGCCATCTGCCAACACCGTCTCCTCGAGCGCCTTGTTCAAGAGTTCCGTGGCGATGCTGTCCTGCGGGTTGATGGCTAGCGCCTGATGCAGCACCGACACCGCCTCTTCCGGCCGGTTCTGCTCCATCAGGATGAGGCCCTTTGCGCTGAAGATGGCCGCGTCCTTACCGCCCAGCCTTAGCACGTCGTTGAACACATCCAGCGCCTTGTTGAATTGCCGGAGTCGTCTGTACGCATGGCCCAGGTTTGTCTTGGTGGCAACCCATGCCCCCGGTTCGCTGTTGATCTCTTCGGCAATGTCAAGAGCTGCCTCAAAGTATTGCACCGCATCTCGGGGGCGGTCCTGGTGGTACTTGACAATGCCCATCTCGTTGAGCAGCAGCGGGTCCGTCTTGCACAAACCGTATGCCGTCTTGAGGAATTCCTCCGCCAGCGCCATGTTGTTGAGGGCGTGGTTTTGCATGCCCAGAAAAATCTGCGGCAAGTGAGTGCCCATGAAGAGGCGTGCGGCGGTCGAATACGCCGAGATGGCCTGGTCATGCTCTCCCTCGGCGGCGAAGGTGTGCGCAAAGCCAATCCAGGCCGGCCCGAAATGAGCATCCATCATACTAGCTTTACTAAAATATCGACGGGCTTCCGCAATCTTGTCAATCGCAAAATAGTAGACACCGACCGCCAACCACGTGCATGGCTCCTCGGGGTGTGTGTCGGCGAGGTCATGCGCCACAAGAAAGAGCAGGTGCTTCATCTTGAGCTCGTACAGGCAGGCGAGATGCACTGGGTAGATGGAGAAATTGTACTTGTCCTCTTGCAGGATCGCGTTGGTAATGGCGAGAGCGTCCTGGTAGCGGCATTGCGTGTACAAAAGGTCAGCCCGCGCCAGTTGAAGGTCGGGGTTTGTGGCTAAATGATAATGTGTCGAGAGAGAATCGTACGCTGTCTCGAAAGCAGCTGGGTTTCGGTATTTTGACAGCCTGGTAGTGTAAAGCATCTTGGTAAAGTCTGCAGCTTCCTGCGACGAAGATACGTCTCCCGAAACGGATATCGAGTCAAAGTCCAAGCTCTCGAGGAATTGCCATTCTTCGTCTGGCGACAGCAGCGAATTCTTCATCAGCTGTTGGAAAGCCTCAAAACACCGAACATCGATCCGCACAGCGTCCTTGTAGCATTCCTTGGCTCGATCAAATGCGTTTTGTTTGGCGTAGCATATCCCCCTCAGGAAGCACATGGCGGCCTCGAATCGTCGGTTGGCGGCCTCTTCCTCGTCCACCTCGCCATCGCGCCGCCGATTGCCGTGGCGGGGCTGTGACTTGCGCTTGTTGCTCCCGCCGTTGGATATCAGGTGCGTAGGGTTCCGTTCTCCGAGAACCACGAGCGCCTCTTCGTAGCGAGACTGCTTGATAAGGCAGTGGCCTGCGAGGTAGCGACAGGACGGGTTCCGGGAGATGAGGTCTTGTTTGGAGAGGAAGGCCTGAGCGCGAGTGTAGTTGCCCGTAGCAAAGTGGACTTGGGCGAGCCAAAAAGCGTCCTGGTCGTCGTCTGGAGATGTGATATAGATGACTGCGTTAGGGCTTGATGCAGAGCACGAGAGACTTGTTCAAGGACAGGACTGACTGGTCAGGGCCAAGAGCTTGTCGCCGATGAAAATGGCCGCATCGTACTGGGCTTTGTTCAAGGCATCTTGCCGCCAATCCCTCAAGAATTTTTCCATACTGCGGCGCCCATGGGTGGGAGAAGAATTGGAGCAATAAGACTTATTGTAGACGGTGGTGTCGCGGGGTCCGAGGCGGCATGGTGTTGCCCGTTTGCAATCACCAGCCCAACATTGAAGTCAATCAGTGTTTGTTGCAAGCGCGATGCGAAGCGCGTCTCAATTGGTGGTGCAACAACTGGGCACATGCAGCCAGGCACAACAGACAGCTCCAGCCTCCAGGGGCGTGGGCTGAAGACCAGCGGGGTCTGGTAGCTCCAGCGCACACGCCCCCCCAAGTCCTCCATGTTCGTTTGCAGCTAGCATTCAATGTTGGCAAAAGTCGACCCAAGAGTGGCCGTCGCCGATGCAGGACCCTCAATGACGGACTACCAATTCGACGACTCACATTGGGTCAGCCATCCAAAAATTATTTCCAACGGCATAATTCCCCTCCATCCCTTCTTACGAGACCCGATTCAAACACCCAAAAGCACAACCCAGTCAATTCAACACAATGGGATCCCCTCTCCCCGTCCGATCGGCGGCTCTCGCCCGCGACACCAACGAGACCAAGATCCAACTCGCCATCAACCTCGACGGCGGCGAATTCCCAGCCGACACGGATGCCCGTCTGCTCAAGGCCACCACCGGCCACGCCTCCCAGTCCAGCAAGTCGCAAAACATCTCCGTAAACACCGGAATCGGCTTCCTCGACCACATGCTCCACGCGCTAGCCAAGCACGCGGGCTGGAGTTTCGCAATCAACTGCGAGGGCGATCTTCACAGTTCGTCGCCCCTCCCAAAAATTCGAACCGTGCATAGAAAGCTAACCCGGCTCTGCGGATAGTTGACGACCACCACACCGCTGAAGACTGCTGCATTGCTCTCGGATACGCCTTCAATCAGGCACTCGGGAGTCTGGCCGGCGTCGCCCGGTTCGGATACGCATATGCGCCGCTGGACGAGGCCCTTTCCCGCGCCGTCGTCGACCTGTCCAACCGTCCCTACAGCGTGATCGACCTGGGGCTGAAGCGCGAGTGGCTGGGGAAGCTGAGCACCGAGATGGTTCCTCACTGCCTGCAGAGCTTTGCGCAGGGCGCCCGGGTGACTCTGCACGTTGACTGCCTGCGGGGCGACAATGACCACCACCGGGCCGAGAGTGCGTTCAAGGCCTTGGCTGTGGCTATCAGGATGGCTACGACGAGGGTCAAGGGCAAGGAGGGTGAGGTTCCTAGCACGAAGGGTACACTGAGCGCTTGAGCGGGGTGGGTTGGGCTTTTACGTTAGATACATGTCGGAGTTTAAATGTCTTGAACAGACGGGGTTTACAATCTAGAGGCCAAAAAAAAAGTTCTCATACTATTCCCACTTTATTGGCAGTACCCGGTGTGTATTGACGCGGCATGCATTCTATCGCAGTGATAAAGGCGTGTGCTTGGATATGAAACGCCTCGGAAAGATTCTATAAAACTGCCAACAGGCCTCGGGTTTCTGTAACCAAGACATTGTTCAACGATCAGGTCCGGTAATCACCATTGATGGTAACATAGTCATGGCTCAAGTCGCAGGTCCAGTGCACGGCACTCTCATCACCAGTGCCCAGAGACACTAGGATCTCCAAGTCTTCCATCTCTAGAATCTCGCTCGCCCGCTTCTCATCGACAACCTCCGGCTCACCATTTACCAGCAGCTTGAGCTCCTTGGACCCGTCGGTGGGGATGAACGAAACGCTCGTCTTCTCGGGGACAATCTCGGGAACGTCGTTGACAGGCTGCCCGGGCTTGGAGATGAGCGAGTAGCCAGCCGCGCACAGAATACGGCCCCAGTTGGCGTCCCTGCCGTAGAGCGCAGTCTTGACCAGCGGCGAGAGGGCAATGGCTCGCGCGACTTGGCGGGCGGATTCTTCAGACGCGCTGTTGACCACGCGAATGGTGACAAACTTGGTGGCGCCCTCGCCGTCGCGGACAAGGTACTTGGCCAGGTCAGTGGCAAAGTCGGTCAGCACCGTCTGGAAGGCATCGTAGTCGGGCGACTGCTCGGACGACACCTCCGTGCCGCCTGCGGCGCCGTTTGCCAACAGCGCGACGGTATCGTTGGTGGAGGTGTCCCCGTCCACGGTGATGGAGTTGAAGGACCTGTTGACGGCGCGTCGAAGAACATTGGTCATGATGCCGGGGGCAATGGGCGCATCCGTGGCCAAGATGGCCAAGAGCGTCGCCATGTTGGGCGCCATCATGCCGGCACCCTTGGTCATGCCCGCAATGCGGTACTCGACCCCCGGAGAAGAAGGGAGCTCAAACGGCCTGGACATGAGCTTTGGGAAGGTATCAGTTGTGCAAATGGCCGTTGCGCAGTTGAGCCAGTCCTTGTGGGTGGCGCCGGCGCGATGGATGGCCAGGGGAATATGGTCGACAATCTTTTGAATGGGCAGCCTGCAATTCACGTTTGTCAACGTAGTCTTAAACAAGGCAATGAGCCTCCAGCAGTTCGCGCCTCACCTCTGACCAATGACTCCTGTGCTCATGACGATTGTTGAGTTCTCGGTGCCGACCCTCTGGTCAGTCGTCTCGGCCATCCTGGCGGCATCTTGAAGGCCTCCGATGCCGGTCACGGCATTCGCATTGCCCGAGTTGACAATGACGCTTCGCAGACCAGCATTGGATTTTCTCTGAAGCAAGTTTCGGCTGAAGGTGACGGGAGCAGCCTGGAACTTGTTTTTGGTGAAGACGGCCGCGGCAGCGCAGTCGCGATCCGACGTCACCAGAGCAATGTCGGGCTTGCTGGTGTTCCCCGGCTTCACGCCACAGAAGACACCGGCTGCCGAGAAGCCCTTGGGATAGGTGCCTGAGGTAGGGACGAATTTGACCTTGTTGGCCGGCACGCCGTTGGTGGAAAAGGCGCGAGCAAGCTTCATCTTGGGCGTGATGTGACAAGGTGAAGTTTTGCGTGGACAAGTCCGTGGCCGGATATCTGGTGCAGTGCCGTGACCCGTGACTCAATTCACCGCAGCACTGCGTCGGGAGATTTAGCATCACCCGCGCGTTTTGATACAGTAGTCTGTACATATTCTTAGTTTTTGGAATATACCAATCACCCTGCCGTAATTTTTGCTGCATATTTTATCTATCTAGGTGCTGCTGTGAGCTTATGGATGCCATCCATGCATCCGTCGTGTGGCTGGAGAGCATCTACGGGACTAGACCTGTCTGGAGTACGATTTCGGAGCCATCAAAAACGCCACGAGGTATATTTGAGCTGCAAAATTGAGCCGATTATTCACTAATTTGGTTGAATTCATTAACAAGGTTTTCGGTGTTTGCACAACAAATCAACAGGCCGCCCGCAAGCCGAGTGCACTGCTAAAGAACCTTGCACTCCAGATAGTTCAGAAAGCAAAAAGCAGAGACAGCACCAGAAAGGATAATCCCAAGCTAGTACTACGCGGAATCTCCCTGCGTAAGATTCTCGTCCGTCGATAAAGTTCCCCTCGCGTGATATCCGGTCAAAAATGGCGCCGCGAATCTACATTTTTCCACGTGCGGCTGTGAAAGTCACAGTTGATGCCTGGCAATACCAACCAATCAGAAGCTCAGAAGCCGCCCCTGTCCGCCCGTGCCTGCAGGCCAAACAAGCAACATGAAATTACTTACATAAGCATGCTGATCTGGGGCGAGGAAATTTTGCCTATAAAATGTCGCCCTGCGCCCCGTCCTTTCAATCTTCTTTTCTTCCTTTCCTCTCCATCCAAGTGCACGGGCGTTTTCCTTCTCCCTGAAGCGATGAGCTGAGAGAGGAATTTTGCTAGTTGAAAACTATAACAAAACCGCTCCTGTTTGATTTATTCGGGCAGGGAATTTTTGGAACACTTTGACTTTTGTCTTTCATTGCGACTGGTCCGTTTGAGGCTGGCGTGAAGAAGGGTCGGTCTAGAGTAGGTGGGAGGAACGGGGCTAGAGAGTAGGAATGAAGGAGGCGGTACTGTGTATGGACAAAGTGATGTCGTTTCCAATGCCTACTAGGTACCTTACTGCCCGATTCTGTTTTGATGCCTCGATCAGGGCAAGATGCGGACTGTGGTTGAGGGCACGGGGTTATGTGATGATTTTCCCGCCGTGACGAGGAGTGGTGATGCCAGTGCCCTAGGCTTGGGGTGTCCTTCGGAATTTAATCTCCCTAGGTCAAGCGTCCATGAGTGAAATATATGGAACTTTTTTTTCGACGTTCCATTTCCATCCGTCGAGATGCAGGTGCAGCTCGAGACAGAGCTCGAGGTATCGATGCTGAAATTTCTTGGGCACTTCGGCCGCAACTCTCTCATGGATGTGTTTGGGGGTTAGCACGCAGGACAAAACATGAACGGAGAGCAAAAGTGCACTTGGCCATTTGGCAATTATGGTATCGAGAGTCAATAAATAACCTAGGTACATACACACCATCTCAGACCCTCAAAATAAAGCCCATTGGATTTTATCGTTAGTCCAAAAGCATTTCTCAAGCTCCCTAGTCCTTCGACCGTGACTCCTGCACTCCTGCACTCCTGCACATCGAGGCACAAGTGTTGAGCCACTTGAGTGTGGGCGGCTCCTTAGCGCGGGGCATCCCTCCACTCAACTGTGGTGACTCAAACTTTGGCCAGCGGCAAGTTAAAAAGACCAGACGCCAGCTTCGCCATTTTGCACACTCAACTTGCCAATTTCCGTCAACTTCGAAACTGCATCCCGCAACACGTCTAGCTAGCGATCCTTCACTTAGCAATACGCCTGAGCCGAACGAACTGCTCTCACCGACTCCCTGCTGTGCCCCTCCCTAGCACGCAGCCCAAACACCACCAGGCATAATTCTATTGACAAAATTCCACAACACTCCCCTTCCGACCCTCATGGCTGCAGAGGGAGGCCAGCCCGCTCCCGTAGGCGACGCCGCCGCGAAGAAAGACCAGAAAACCCGGGGCCAGCCTAAAACCCCCCAGCAACCAGACCAAGGTGCATCCTCAGACGCCCCCGGCGAGAAGACTCTATCAAATGCTGAGCTGAAGAAGAGAGCCAAGGAGGAAAAGGCAGCTAGGAGAGCACAGGCAAAGGCTGCGCAGGTCGCAGCACCCGCTGGACCTTCCGGGGGACAAGGCGCTACTGGCGACGCAAAATCTGGCAAGAGCAAGGCAAACAACCCCAAACAAGGTGGTCTCCCTGTGCCGAGCCATCACCGGTCTGCTTCGCGCTCTGTGCTGCCGCCTGTTGCGAAGGAGGTTGTGAAGCCCAAGATTCCAGAATGCTATAGCCACTTGTCCATGGCGAGGAGGATTGCCATAACACAGGCAGACAAGGACGTTCATCCCGTTGTGCTGGCGCTGGGCCAGCAGATGAGCACGTTTGCAATTAGCGATAGTACTACGAGACTTGAAGCTACTCTTCTGGCCTTCAAAAAGGTATGAGCCCCCCAAAACATGGTTGTCTCTTTCTTCGCCTTCTCTACGCTATGCACGTTTCTGACAAAAGGGCCTAGGTCATCGATGCCTACACCACTCCCCACAGCAACACATTCTCTCGCCACTTCACCTCGCACGTTCTCAACCCTCAAATCGAGTACCTCACCGCCTGTCGACCAATGTGTTTTTCCATGGGTAACGCCATCAGATGGCTCAAGCTCCAGATTAGCAAAATCGACATTGATCTGCCCGACAGCGATGCCAAGAAGGTTCTCTGTCAGGCCATTGACACCTTTATCCGCGAGCGTATCATCCTCGCCGACTTTGTCATTGTCAAGACGGCAGCGGACATGATACAAGATGACGAGGTCATCCTGACGTATGCTCACCACAAGCTCGTCGAGCGCTCACTCCTGCAGGCCAAGTCGGACGGAAAGCAGTTCAAGGTCATTCTTGTCGACGACCCATTCGACCGCGTGGGCCTTGAACACGCAAAGAACCTAGCCGCCGCCGGCATCCCCGTCACCTACGCCTCTGATATGGGTGCCCTGCGATCGAATCTGCAAGAAGCTACCGTTGTATTCACCGCCGCAGAGGCCATATTCAGCAACGGCTCTATGTACGCTCGCGCAGGTACCTGTGACGTTGCCACCGTTGCGACCGATCTGGGCCTCCGAGTCGTGGCGCTCAGCGAAACAATCAACTTGACAGATCGAGTGTCCATCGACTCTCTCACGTATAACGAAATCGATCCCGAGAGAAGCACAGGCGAAGAATGCAGGCTGCTGTTCGACACCACAAGGGATAAATTCATATCCATCGTCGTCACTGAGCTGGGCAACTTGTCAGCCATGTCGGTGCCTGCCATCTTGCGCAAGTTGGAGGAGCTGTAGACTAGACAAGAACCAAAAAAAAAGAAGGGAAAAAATATAGAAGCCATGTAATATCCCACTACTACTAGCCTTTTCATCCACGGTGTATCATTGTAACCGCGCCGTCTCAAAATCAAATACAAGCATCAAAAGAAACCTCTGTATTCCATGCGCTCTACCCCATATGTACAAGTCTTACAACCCCAAATTTCACCCTATCTTATGAGGGCCTAGAAGACACATCAGCCCGGCCGTGGCCCAGTCGTCGCTGGCCGTAACGGACCCCCCCTCCACTCCTAACTCCCTACTGCAGAGCAGCCGCATCGCCCCTCGCATCGCCAGCCTCCCTCTCCGCCTTCCTCTTGCGCTTCTCGAGCAGGAACGCCTTGCGCTCGCTCAGCATGGCGCTCTGCTTGTCGTCGATGCCCTGCAGCCAGTACCCGAACGAGGCGCCGCCCAGAGCGTACGCCGGGTACGCCCACAGCGAAGACTTGTTGAAGAAGGGGCGCATCTCGATTCCGACCTGCCAGAAGCGCACGGCGAGGCCTGCATCACCGCCGACGTTAGCTCTGCCTTTTTTTTTCAGACTGGCGACATTTCGTTGGGGGACGGGAGGGACAACGAACCGAAGCAGCTCCAGAATGCGATGCGGTGAACCATGGTGGGTGGGTGGCCGCTCTGGAGGGTGATTGAGCGTGTGGATGGAATTGAGCGAAGGAATTGGTGGTTTGCTGCAGATCGCCGGTGGTCTTGGTAGCTAGCTGGTGGGATGAGGTGGTCGTGATGGGGTCGATGGAGTCTTTGGTTGTCGGAGTCAATTTACGGTCACGTGTGGGGTCACATGCACTTGACTTGTACTACCACACGCGACGGACCTCGTCCACGACACTGGGAAGCTCGAGTAGGCGGTAATTGATTTATTGATAACATCAAGGCTATTACTATGGCATCTATCATTTCTCATAAGATGGTTCTATGCACAACACAAAGTCTATAACACGACGCCCAGACTGGGCCATGTATGTACACTCATCTCGTTCCAACGCCAAGCAAAAAGTACAGTTCAACCAAACATATTATCCCGCCTGTTTGAATTGAGCGAATATGGCGGCGGCGGCGGCATTTCGGATTGAGCAGAAGCGGCGTGAGTCGGTAGTCGGGGAAGGTGTGGTGGCACGGCGGGGGGCGGTCCGGTGCCAGCCATTTGCGTAACCTTGGCAACCATCTTTGCCATGTATTGCTGGATAAATGACTCCCTATTATCTTGTTAGTGACTTAAGGCTGACGACAATTGACACATGTATAAGACTTACGTATAGTAGCTGTGATCCGAATTGTGTGGCGACACAAGGTTGTGAGCCAACTCGTGAGCCAGCACAACCCACCACCAGGTAGCAGCTTCAGCTTTGCCGCTTCCACTCTGGACCTGTGCAGCATGCAATTGTAGAAAGAACCGAAAGTTACAGAATATGCTGCCGCCCGTATTAAATGCAATAGTCCCCCCTGATTCGTCGTAGAATATGTGCAAAACCTTGGGCGACACCGAGTAGATGCCACCAATCTCGACTAGCAGCGACGCGAAGGAATTGATTGGGCCGGTGTTGGCCGACAAGAAGG